GTGGGGGGAAGCCTGAAAGCAGAGAGGGCAGCAGAAAATCATAGAAAAAGCAGCAGGGACAGCAGGAAAGCAAGGAGAGGCTGAGAGGTGGCAGAAAAGGGGAGATGGAATTGGGAGGAGATGGGGAAACTAGCAGAGAGGGTGGGACCTGGAGCTGAGAGAGAGAGAATGAGGCTGGAATTTAAGATAGGGAAGGGACTGGGATTCAGTAAAACATGACCCAACTGGGATTGCCAATGACAATGATTTTACTGAACAGGGGAGATGGTGACACAATGCCAAATTGGTTCCCTTGCGCACGTACACATGCACACGCAGCAGGGGTTAAAGAGGCTTGGTGCAGAGGCTGAAGTCCACTGAAATCCAGGAGGAGAGAGAGAGAGAGAGAGAGAGAGAGTCTAAATTGTAGGAGGAGGTATGCAGGTAATATCTACCTATCCAGGCTGGAAGGGGTCCTTGTCCAGTAGATGTTGTCCAGAGGGGGTCGCTGGCAGGGCCTCTGGGGTGGATAGGTGACAAGAAGCTGGTCTGATCCAGATGGAAGTGGCGTTCCCACTGGGTCTGTCTTCACTGTGTCCCTCTTTATAGGGGCAGACCATATGTGACCCTAGTGACAGGAGGCATGCCCAGGCAAGGTCAGCCCCTGGCATACTGAGCATGTGTGCTGTATGCAGGGATGTGCAGTTTCAGGTGTCTAATGGTGAGAGTTGCTGGTTCTACAGGGTCTTTTGTTTTTCAAACGCTGGTCTTGTGTCTGTTCCTGGGTGAGGTCTGTGGTTCCCGGATGAATCAATGCGAGGTGATGGCCCAGTTGTTACAGGCCGTTCAGTAGAGGCCTGCTACTATTGTATCTCAATCATACCCAATCATTCTCATTCATCTGGGAACCAATTTACAAGGGAGGGGTACAATGAATCATATTGTTGCAACATGGGATGCCCAGGCAGAGGACAGAAGCTGGAGGCTTGACATATAAAACGGAAACTTGACATGACTTTGGTTCACTTACAAACACAGGCCTAAACCATACAATATCCAGAAACAATAAAAATCAATACAAAAAAGATAATTATACAATATACAATAGTAAAAATCAATACAAACCTAATAATAATACAATATAAAACAGTGGATATCCAAAACCAAAAACTTGCTACCAAAATAAAAATGTTTAAAGCTTATCCTAAGTTTGAGCTCACTTATACTTATCTATAGGGAATAGAGAGGGAGAGAGAAAGTCAGAAATGGTTGGGGAAGGGGAGCAAATGCATTTAAAAAAAAAAACTGGGGGTTTTGCTACCATAGTTGACATTGATCCTGGAGTAGCTGAACTTTTGCTTCCTTGTAGCCAGCTTTATATGCTCCATTTTATAATGTGAGCCTCAATCCTTTCAGAAAGTGTTGGAAGCAAAGAGAAGAGATAAGTCCATAGTTTCTGTGAACTGTCAAGAAATATTCCATGGATCATATTTTGAGGGAAAGGTCTATATCCTGGGAGGGGAAAGAGCTGTAAAGAATCAGAACTAGAGCTGGCTACAAGTGTTTTTGATGAATTAAGATTTCGTTGGAAAATCCTGATTTGTTGAAACTGCAGCTTTTTGTGTGAATATGTCTGTTGCACAGACCTTTTGTCAGGAAAGGTTTTTCCAGGGACTTACTGGAAATGTAGACTTTAAAGTTCATCCTAGAATAATCTGTAGCTTGGTCATAACTCATAAGGGCACTTTCCTTAGATAGGAGAGAATAGCAAAGTAGGGACTTGAAACCTGAATTTCCCACAGCCTGGTTGAGTGTCTGATCTCCAGACTGCTGGCTATTCTAGGTCCATCTAGCTCGTTTTCCACAAAAATAGAACTTTGAAAGGTGTTTAGTTTTTTTCTTAATGAAGAATGGGAATGTGTTTAAATGGCAGAGTTTCTCAGGATGGGAAGACCATTTTCTGCCAGTTTCTAATTTGAGCTCCTTTTCATATGGTTAGGGGACAGCACATCAGTACTGTTCAGCTCCCTTTGGGTGGTATTGCTGAGCACAAAGTGATAGGGTGTTAGTGAAAGAAGATCAACTATACCCCCTCCCACCCTTCTCTGGAGAAGTTAAAGGAAGGGAATAAATAAGGGGTGGGTAGTTATTTCGGGTGGAAGGCTGCTTACCTGGTTTTGGCAAGCTGTCAAGGGCCACATGGGTAGCCCTGCCCCTTCACATGTAACATTTTTCAATGTTTCCAGTTCTGAATCAGGCCCCAAAAGCTTCTGAGTAGCTTAAAAATCAAAAGACATTTTTTCTAAAAAATAAAAGAAAATTAGATTTTTCTTATTTGTTTTGCTTAATTCTGAATCTTTTGTTTATGCTCCAGTTGTTCTCTAGCATTAAGACTAGAAACTTAATTTTTATATTATGCCATACTGTTCCTTTCAACAGGTAGAGTGCTAAAATGACCACTTACTATAAGACTTAAGATAGTCATCAGAATTTGCAACAGTGGATATTACATATTAAAAACTGAGGAAATATTTGTGGCAGTTAACATTTTGGTGGCAAATTTGTTTGTTTCAATGTGCAAGTGTCTGCTTACATTAGAGTAGCAGCCAGAAAAGTGACTAAAAATGGCAACTTCCTACTCAACAAACCCATTTGCTCTATATTAGTAGTCATGTTTAGAGCCTTCAAAGCCTTTACTGTATTCTGTGACCATGTGATACAGGATTTTGTGAAGGGGGTGCAGGAGTAGTCACTGGCATTGCAGTGGCAGCTGCACTCTTTAAGGGATCAGGCTATAGGTGGTCTGGCCCAATGCATAGGCCACCAAAGAATGCCATGGGCTAGGTCAGAATTCAGGTGCCATATTGCCAGGGTCAGGCTCTGGGGATCAGCTGCTGAGTTACCAAATTAATGGGACAGTCCAGAAGACAAAGTCTGAGAACAGGAGGCTGGGGCAGGAAGCAGATGCACAAGGAAATTTAAGGTCAGAGTAGAGAAACAAGCCAAAACCAGGGTCAGGAACTTGGGAAGCCAGAGAGTGCTGGAGCAGGGAGGCTCGCCACAGCAGACTAGGTCAAACTGTTGGCTGGCCTGGAACCTGCTGCCAAAGGTGGGAATAAATGGGGAGACTGAGAGCTTCCAATCAGGAAAACAGCTGGTTAACTTGCTGTGGCAGAGCTTGTTAGCCAGAGACCCAAAGCAGGTAGGGATGCCTAGGCAATAGCCCAGGTTGGGCTACTTGCCAGGGTCCTTGCCACTCGCCTACTCCCAGCTTCCCCCAGTCTTTGGGCAGACAGACCACATTGTGGCAACAGCAGTCCCCAGGTCAGATAAGAATCCTATGCTTTGCCACCCCATGTCTTCCCCACCCTGTGCTCAGCATCACATTGCATCCCCTGCCCCTCCTGCTGTTGTCTTGGGGGGAGGGAGGGCTCCAGAGCCGTTTCTACCTGTTCCAGCCAGGTTTAGGAGGGGGCAGTAGGAGGCAGGTTTCTCCTCCCTGCCTGGTCTCCCCAAGTGTTCCCTGCAAGCCTGGGAACAAGTGCAAGGTGGAGAACCCTCCCTGCACTGCCACTGCTGTCCCCTGCTGAGTCTAGCTGCAACAGCCCTGAAGCCCTCTCCACTGTGAAATGAATTGGGAGATTTGTGATTGGAAAGACTTGTGGAGAAGGGGTTCCAGAACTGTACCTGCTGGGCTCAGCAGGAAGTGGCAGTGGTGGCAACAGACAGGTTTACTTGTCCAGGGCCTGCTCCTGGGCTGGCAGGGAACACCAGGGGACTGGCAGGGACAAGGAACCCACCCGCTGCTGCCATTGCTGCTGCTGTTCCTGGCTGGAGCAGGACAGGAGTGACTGGAACCTCTCTCACCCTGACCAGCTGGGGACAGCAGCAATGGCAAGCAGGGGAGGGGAGGTGGTGCTGAGAATGGAGGGGGAAAGGGTAGGAGGTGAGGATTACCTGATTTTGGACCTTAAGTAAAAATAGTCTCCGCTCCTGCAGTGTAGTAAAAAAGGTGGGTGCAGCTGTGACACTGCACCCCTCTGGATTTGCCCCCATCTGTGACTATACATTTATTACTAAAATAAATGTAAAAATGGCATTGATTCTGTCTGTATTAGGATCCTTTTTTTCATGCTTCTGCCTGTAAGTCTTTTGCTAGTGATCTTAAGCTTGATACACTTTTTTTCAAATATGAAGTATCCATGTAATATTCTGTGGTTTAGCTCAGAGGAGTTCACAAGAGACTTCTCTTTGACTGGGATCAACATCAAAAATAGAAAGTTTTTTAAAAGAATTATGTTGAATTCAAAAGGTTAATTTAGTGGAGATGGGGAATGTTTATGTAATAATGTACTCCAAAATTTAGATAAGATCAGCCGAATTTCTGTTCAAAGTTAGCCTTCCTGAAATATCAGAAGGTTGCCTTTTTGTGTAAAACATGTGCCTTTAATACGTGGAACTCTTTGGAATATCATTTAATTTAGACATCGTTGCTACCATAACAACAGTGAGAAATAATTTTAGTTTATATGTACAAACCTCTTCACTGTTGTTGTGATATGTAAGAATGTGGGGGAGGGCTGGGGTGGTGTAGGTTGCTAAGGTGCATGGTTGACAGCCCAGAGTTCACAAGTTTGAGGCCATAGCAGAAGCGCTTATGGCGTGGCTTGTCAGATTCCAACAAATCTGTGAATTCTACTAAGTATCTTGTCATAAGGACACAAGAAAGAAAAGGAAGAATGCAGGCATTGACAATGCATAGGGGGGTGCATGTGCACCCCCTGAGATTGGCAGTGCACCTCCTGACACAAGCGCTGCTGACGATGCCTGCAGGTGGTCGCCGCTCGCCAGCCCCCCCCCATGGTCGAC